ATAAATCACCAAATTAATCTAATTAAGTTGGCATCGCTAGTATGTACAAGAGTAAATTTTTTATAAAATTGATCTATTTCAAAAGGCTTAACTTATTAACATAATAAGGAATCACCTTGAAATTTTTACAAGTAATTTATAAAATGCCAGATATATAAAATTATGCTTTAATATTTAATTATTTGTGTTTACCCCAGGTATGTACATACAAGTGTACACGATTATTTTATACAGTACATGACCACTTTTAATAATAATCGAGCAATAAACAAAACTCTTACTTTTTTAGATACAAATAAAGCTAACATGTTATAAATCCAGTTATAAAATTAAAGTTATTTCCCGATACTATATTGTATAACCCGATTAATAAAGTTTTTTCTTAATCCGTAATTGATCGATATAAGTGGATATTTTAGAAAAAAAAAATTTTTTGTACGAACTGATTTTCTATTTAGAGTTTAATTGAACAAGATTATATTATAGCGATAGTGGTTATTGATCTTAATTAAGAATTTTGAAGAGATAAGTGTTGCAAAGTTAAAACTAGTAATTGAGGTTTTTGCTTTGCAAACTCATATTATATTGCATTTGAGTTATCTCTAATTTAAGTGAATCTTTTGTAAGATTCTATTCGAAAATTTTAGTGTATAAATAGATGCTCATAGTATACACTGTATCTATATCTGCGTACTACATCATTTTTAAACTCCGTGATGTTTCATTTCACAATAATTATGTCATTAAATTTACCAATATATAAAAGAAAAGCGGGTAAAATTTTTTTTTTTCGTATTTTACATTTACTATATTTCGATATATGCATAAGCAAAAAAAAAAAAGAAATTTACAGATATACCTTATATTTGCTTTTTTTTTGTGATGGAAAAATGTACTTCGTGTACATGCAAATATTCTCCTGAAGCTTTTGTGCTTAATGGAAAAGTGAATAAGACTTGCGCAACTTGTTTGACTAATAAAGCTAAGACAAGGGCTGATAAAAAGACTATACCTGATCATAATCAAATTATTGAAACAATTCTGTTAAATAATTTAAATGAATATGTTATAGAGTTAATGGACAGTCTTGAGAATAACATGGGGTTATCTTTTACAATACACGTTGATGTCAATATGTTTGATCAAAATTGCAGTATCAAGTCAATTGCCAATATGATCATTAACAATATTGAAGAAGGTGACAGTTATTCCTGGGTGTAAGTATTAGAAAAATTAATAAGTATTTTAAAAAAATAAAATTTTAATATGTTTAAATTTTTGAAGAGTTAAGACAGCACCTCGTATGTCAGCTTGTCATGAAAATGTTAGTACTTTCTACTTCAGCTGTTCTCAATCAAATAAACTAGCATGTGATTACAAAGAATCAAATCGTCCAAGAATGGAACATTTTAATTGTAATGGAGCATTAATCATACATGTTGATATGCCTGCAGCTAAGGTAACAGTAAAACTTAAACACGAAATCCTTTATGAAAGATCAATTGATGTCGCAACACCTGAAGAAATCAAACAAGCAATTCAAGAAAATATTCACATGGATCCTGTGCAACTTAGGACATATCTTTATAATAAGTTTGATCTTTCAAAAATTACATTGCAGCAAATTAGATATTGGTAGTCATTCTTTACTCAAAATTTTTATAAATCTGATGATGATCATGTTAATTCAGCATATTCTTTTCTCAAATCAAACCAAGCTGCAGGTTGTGAACTTTGCTATGAGTTAATGACTAGTCAAACAATTGCAATTGGGTTTATTACACCCTTATATGGTAAAATTAAGCAAATGTCTGAAATTCATTGTGACGCCACCTACAAAACTGCGAAAGGAAGATTCGAATTGTATGGGCTTATTTGCAATGTTAAGGGCGCGGGGTATCCGTTGGCTTATTTAATTTTAGATACTACTAAAATTTCTGATGAGGAACCGCAAAATGAAAGACGAACACATGCTCTAAGTGGTTTTTTTGAATCTATTCGCAATAGAGGTTTATATCCAGACTACTTTTATACAGACAAGGACTTTTCGGAAATTAATGCGCAAAGCAAATTTGGCCTAATGCTGATATACAGCTTTGCCAGTGGCATGTGGAGAGAGCAATTAGTTAAAAGCTCAAGTGTCGCAAAAAGGTTCAACATATTCAGTACCGACCTGAAGATGCTGCTGAAGAATTTGATTTTATGGATCTAAATTTTAAGCCAAATCTGAAAGAACTAGAAAATGAAATCTGTTCTCAACATCTCTGACAAGGGGTTCTTGACTTTATTAAAATGCATTTTAACCAACATTCTAAGGTTCCGGTTAATGCCAATGGACAGTTTTTAACCCCTATTGAAATTCGCAAAAATGCAGTGCGTGAAATGTATGAATTTTGTTTTACCAATGGTCTTTCATTATTATGGTCATACCTTTGGTCTTCTTAATACAAAATGGAATGGTGGACCCTTTGGGCTCGTTCAGTAAGATCAACAGTTCCTATTGGAAAGACAAATATGATGATTGAAGCACATTGGAAAGTGCTTAAGCACTGCTATCTATATCGTTATAATCAACCTCAGCTAGACTATCTTGTATGGGTAATTTGTTCTTGTGTACTACGTGATCAAGTCATTCACTTTCAACAAATGTATATTGGCCGAATAGTTCCATCATGGTTTGATGATTTTAAGAAACAGTAGAAGTTACTTGCATCTAGACTAGTAGACACAGATGCTGAAAAACATTATATGATTGATCTAACACGTTGGGTGTGTAGTTGTAAGTCATTTCTTAATAGCAGATTTCTTATCTGCAAACATTTAGTCTATCATGCGATTGAAAAAGAAAAATTGTATAATCCTGAAGGTATTCAATTAGTGTATTCTAATTTTGAACGAAACACAGATTATCCATTTCTAACTTTAAAGAGTAGCAGTAACAATCCACAAAATCAGCATTTTAATAAACAACCTCTTAATGAACGATCTCTTAATGTACAGCATTTTAATGAACAATCTCTTTATACGCAACCTCTTAATGTTGATAATAAGCTATCAATTCAGGCTAACATTAAGAATTATTTGATTGCTACTAATGAAAATAATGAAAATTTTAACCCTGAACTTTACCAACAATGCAAGTCAAAAATAGTTGCATTAGAACGTCTTGTGAAACATTTAAATGATGAATTATCAGAAAACAATCTGCAGCATATTGAAAATGTTGTTAACAATATGAAGCATACGTTTACCATTATTGATGATATAGAATCATCTCAACACAAAAGGCGATGTAGTAATACTTGGAGCAAATCAAAACCTTGGGCACTATTTCTACAGTAAAGGTTAGTTTACTTATTAGAATATATATTACATTAAAATTTGATAATTTAATATATTTCTCAATTCTAGCAGAATATGAATATTCAAGAATGATATCGGTCATATATTGAAATATATATGAGCATTCAAGAATGATAACAGTTGTACATTGAAATATCATAGTTGTAGAATCTAAATTAGTATATATCTTTTGATATCTTTTCGTGATCATGATAATTCATTAAATAGAAATTTATATATAAAATAATACAAAGTTCTTAGAAGCTTGATTTTTCGTCAGAAAATATTAAACATATTTTGAAGATATTCAATTATATTATGATTGTATGCTGTTTAACTTTTAAATATTATTTCTTAGTTCAGAATTTCTGATTCATTATTAGTTTATAATTTTTAAATATTAGATCGGTTGAAATTTAAGTTTATTCAAAATTCTAGACAAATTTTATGTTTAGCAGTATACTACTCAATGCACACCAATATGGGCTTATAAGAATTAAAATTTTTTTTCATAATGACAAAAACGATTATAATTTGCGTATTGATTGGGTTAATATATAATTTGTGTTATTAGTGCAAATAGGCTTAGAAGACTTGGTTTATATTTTATTTATTTGAAAATAGTTGCACCATTATAGGGCTTTGGATGATTATTTAAATTTAGAATTGAAATAAAATTTTAGCGAAGGTATATAATGTAATATAGTAATGATTAATAATTTTTGTTGTACACTCGTATGTATATACTAGGGAGTAAACCAACCAAATAATTAAAATTAAAGCATAATTTTATATATCTAGTGTTTTATAAATTACTTGTAAAAATTTCAAGGTGATTCCTTATTGTGTTAATAAGTTAAAGCCTTTTGAAATAGATCAATTTTATAAAAAATTTAATCTTGTACATACTAGTGATGCCAACTTAATTAAATTAATTTTGTGATTTAA